TTTTCTAAAGAGTGCTACCACGAGGTCACTAAAGAAATTTAGACCTTAGAAATGCCAGTGAAATCCACACATTATTCTTCATCTGATACCTAGAAAATCATATTCAGTCCTTGATAACATTTTTGAGTGATATTAGATTAAATGAAGCTCATCTAGAGAATGACAAACGATGAGAGAATAATTTTTATATGAAGAACTATAAAAATATTTTAAATATTTAATACTGAAGTGCTGACATGGTGAGAACTCAAAGGTTTAAAACCAACACCAGAAGTATTGTGACTCACTAGAAAAAAGAATTACTACTAAAAACATAAAAATAAGCGAATTATTTATATAGAATGACATTACATAAAACAGTAAGTTTGACATTATTATTAGCAATTAAGAATTAGTGGAGTAAGCATTTAGTTCCAAAACTGTAGTGTGGAGTACCATGCAGTGGGAACCAATGGGCTTTGAAGAAGCAAAGACAGAAAGAAAAAAAAAAAGCCTTGATTTGTATTCAGGCTTTGTAATTGCTTTGTTGGCATGTAAACATTTATGCAAGTCATTTCATCTTTCTCAGACTCATTTTTTTTCTATATATATTGCAAATAATTCTTTAAATCAGTGAATTTTTTGTAAGGATATGTTAAGTAATACACAAAAGCACTTAGCAAACTGCTTGGCACGCATCAATTTCCTATAAATAGCAATATTACTAGAAGTAGGAGAATTCAAATATTGGATAATGCATTACTCTAGATGACATCTAAGTCATTTCTAAAATTTGTTATCAACAATATACCCAAATAGTTAATAAGAACTAAGCAACTTTTCTTTAAAGAGAATTGGAACGTTTTGAAGAAATATCACTAATATATTTTAAGATATAAATCTGAGGAAATAGGAAAGCTAGGGAAATTCTGAATTACCAGACCCTGATGGAGAACTGAGTCTCAAGTGGGAAGGCTAAGGCTCTGGCTGCTCTAACAACATATAGTCATCTTATTAACCAAGAGTTGTGAATTTAAATGGCATCAAAATTATAGGAGGTAAATGTTGGGCTCATATGGAATGTGATGATAGAAGTGAGATTCTGATAGCCAGAATCCTTGATGCACAAAATGAAAAATACAGAGTCATCATAGAGAGAGAGAGTAAAAGGAAGTTTAAAGATCTTAACCCAGACTCTAATAATAAAAATACTTAAGATGCTTTTTTATTCCCCAGAGAAGTTATAAACTCAGCCATGAACCCACTCATGTTTGTACATGATTCAGAAGGCACCATACTGAGTATTTGCATAAAAAGAGGCCCAAACAACCTGGGCAAAATCAAAGACCGATGAGTCAGGTCACACTTTGAATTGAGTTTAAAGTACCAAATTAATAAGCCATAAGGAAACAAATCACATGGATTACTGTAATATTATAACTGGAAAAAAATCATTGACAATATAATGGATAAAAATATAAAATAATTATGTTAACAACAATTTAATAAATAAAAGAACGAAGTATAATATGAGAAAAAAATGATCTACTATTACAGCGATAAGACATACTTTGAAAAGAACCTAATAAAATGTCTGTAAATAAAAACTAAGGTCATTAAAATTTTAAAATATCAGTGGATTTTTAAAATAATGCAACAGCACAGTTAAAAATAGATTTAGTAAACTGGAGATTAAAGAATGTACACAGAGTAAGTCACAGAATGATAAAGCTAGAAAATACATCAAGAGGTAGAGAGAATATAAGCCGAATATGACTGTGAATTCTTTAGACTTTGTGAAAATTGAAAATCCTCAGGTATGGGAAATACAGTATGTTCCAAGTTAAAGAAATACAACTAGATTCATACCTAGGCATGTTGTACTGAAATTGCAGAGTGCCATTAAAAAAAGATTTTCAAAGTTGGAAGAAAGAGCATGTAATATATGAGTTTTCTATTGCTAACAAAGGAGTAGAAACTTAGTGCTTCTTGACAAATTCATTATCTCATGGTTTCCATGGTGAGGAGTCTGAGCATCCTTGGGTCAGGTCTCACAGGGATGCAATCAGGTTATCAGCCAGGTACTTTTCTCATCTGGGTCTTGAGAGTCTCTTTTAGATTCTTGGCAGAATTTAGTTTCTTGCAGTTGTAGGACTAAAGCCTCCAGCTTCTAGAGGCCTGTCTTCATTGTAGGCAGTTCACAGCATACATTTTTTTTTTAAAGGGGAACAGAAGAGTACCTCTCTGTTTAGAAAGATCTATGTCCATCTTTAAAAAATTTTTACCTATACTCACTATGTCTAGGAGTTCAATTGTTTTGATTTTTAGATCCCACAAATAAATGAAAACATGTTTGTGTTTCTGTGTCTGGCTTATTACACATTACAGAATAATATCTATTTCCATCCATGTTATTGGAAATGACATAATCTCATTCATTTTTATGACTGAATAGTACTTCATTGTGTGTATGTACCACATTAACTTTATCCATTCATTTGTTGACAGTTTCTTGGGTTGCTTTTAAATCTTAGCTATTGTGAACAGTACTACAAAAAACACAGAAGTGCACGTATCTCTTCAATATACCAATTTCCTATATTTTAAGCATATGCCCAGCAGTGTGATTGCTGCATCATATGGAAGCTAAATTTTCAGTTTTCTGAGAAACTTCAAAACTGTTCATAGAGGTTGTATGCTTGATGGAGTGAATACCCAATTCTCCATGATGAGCTTATTTCACATTGCGTGCCTGTATGAATGCACCTCATGTACTCCATAAATATATATATATATCTTTTATGTACCCCAAAAATTAAAAATTAAAAAAGTTTTCCCTCATTATGTGAGTCTCATTCAAGGTCATTCCCCTTTTGCTTACTAAAGTTAACTAGTTTGACACTTAATTACATTTGCAAAACCTCTTCTACTTTGCCCAATAAGGTAACCAATGAAGGGAGTGTTATCCCACCTCTCCCATGTGTGTAGGGAGAAGATTAGACAAGGTAGGTACAGGAGAATTAGAAACTCAGACCAATTTAGGGTTTTATGTACAATATATAGATTTTTCTGGAATGGAATTTCTATTATACTAATTGTGAGTATCTCTATAGCAACCACAGAAGCTATCAATGAAATAATATTTGAAAATATTGAGATAAAATTACTGTGAATATAAATTAGGAAAATATGAAGAGTTGTTATCACTTCTCACCAAAGTAATTATAAAAATATATTTTGAAACAGAAATTAAACGCTAAAGGAAGAGCTAAAATATAAGAGTAAAAAGGAAGTTAAGGAGTAAAAACTAAAAGAGCCCCAAGGAGGAGGAGTAAAAAGTCACAAAATTTGTGGGTAAATCTAAGGAATTGTTGATGGTGATAATACATAAGACAGAAAGGGGAGTATTAGAATAAAATCCATGTTTCTTTCTGAGTTTAGTGCAAAGAGGTAATATTGATTAATTATAATCCTTTTAAAATTATGTATGCATGTTAAAATTATCAACCTCTTCAATAATAGACTTTGATTGCATTATTTCCGAATAAGTAAAAGCAGAAAAATAAGAGAGAGAAGGCAAATAATCCTAAAGAAGACATTAAATGAGGGGCTGGAAAAAAAATGTATAAAAAGCCATGTAAACAAAATCCACAAAATAAGATTCAACACCTAGGACCTGCTTACTAACTGATTTGCAGGAATTCTGTAAAAACAAAGATGAGCAGGCACAGATTCTCGGTTAAGGATAGGTCTAAATTTTTCAGTAAAGATCCATCCTGTAGAAAGTCATCAACTGCTCTGGAGAAAAGTAACAGCATATATAGACAAGTGGACTTGGAATTCTCTGTGATCATAGAGTTTGATAATGCTTTCACTAGGAGGTTTCCCTCCCATTGGACACTCCAAAATATCCTAATGCGAATAAATTTGGGAGACTAGTTTCTTCATTACAGGACTTTTCATAACTTTTAGTAAATTGATGGAAATTATAAATCCCTAAGAAAGAAGAATATAAAATGCAGTGTTTCCCAAAGTTACTTGCCCAGGTATTCCATTGGGAAGTGTTTTGTATATTCATTTTTACCAAGTATGTCATGGGTTTATTGCACCATTGAATACTTGTCCAGACAAATGCAAGTGAAATGAGAACAGCTTCCCTTTTTGTTTTGCAGAGTGTGCAATGGGAGTGTGACTCTTTTTTAGTGCCCTGCTGCTCAGACCTCTATGGGAGCCTATGGATGGGTAGGCTGTGGAGCTCTGACCCCACGACAGTGTCTAAGAGTGAACAGCTGAAGCCCCAGTGAGAGTGTGTTACAGGATGCTTTTAGTTTAGCCGTCAATTAGATCCCTGTCTGATCTCAAGGTAAAAGGGCATTTAGTATGTCTGGGTTCTTGCCTTGGTGTACCAGAAGAATCAGATGACACGTGGGCTCTGGGAATGAGTGCAAGGTTTTATTGAGTGGAAGTAGCTCTCAGCAGTTGGGGGAACCAGAAGAAAGATGGTTTTCCCCTGGAGTTAGGCCACTTGATGGTCTGGGCTCTCCTATAACTGCCCCTGACTCTTCGTTTTGCTGGCTGATTGCCTCGCTGGCATGCCAGTGTGATTGTAGCCTGGTGCATTCCTCTCGATATCCTGCTACCCATGTCGCAAAAATGCCTGTCCTCACCCAGGTTCCTGGGCAAAGGCCTGGGGGATGGAGCCCTAAGCCAGGCACCACTCCCTGCTCTACCCAACACTTTCCTTCCCCCTTCCCTATCATTTAAAGGGACCACACCCTTCCCTTCCCAGCATTTCCCTTACATATTACAAAAACCAGTCAGAAAACTCAATGAGTTATCATTGGAAATGCACTGACATCATTATGACACGAGACCACAAAGAGCAATTATGTTATTTAATGCCCCAGGAAAACATCACAGATCCCCCTGAGAAAGCACTTCACGAGCACATAACTTTTTTTGGACCATATAGTTTCCACCCACCAGTAACAGGCCTTCTAAGAATACAAACACTGAAAAACTAATTGAATATCTGTAATTTATTCAAATAAACATTCAAATCAGCCAAGATATCAGTTACCTTTATAGCATTTCTTCTTCATCTTGGAATTATTGTGTCTTAGTTTACTTCTCAATCAAATATCTATGTTCCATATGGCTCTCTCCTCTGATAAGCATTTTGGCAAAATGATCCCTGCTGATACATTAGTGAGGACTTTCTTTAATCATAAATAAAATGTTTGTATTTTTACATGGGGCTTTGGAGAACAATGTTTTAACTTCCTGGAGATGGTTCACTTCTCAGACCTCCTACTGTTTTGGAAATATGAAGAAGTTAGCATTGTGCCTAGAACATAATAAACCATCACAAATATTGCCATTCTTTTTATTTTTCTTGGCAGCTGAATTAACTTAGAAACCCTTTGGACCGCAGCTCCTCTATCTATTAAAAAGGGGGTAGTAATAGTAAGTCTCTGACTGTGTCACTGCAATGATTAAATATGATATGCGCAAGCCCCTGGTGTTGTCTGCTATGGAAGTTATTCCTTTCTTTCTGTGCAGAGGCCTAGCATAACTTTAGCTGCAGTTGAGTAGTCTTCAGATTAGCCTTTGATCACAGAATCTGAGAAAGAATACAGAAATAAATAAGCCACCGGCTAGTAAATAAACAGACTGGGTTCGACTGTTATCTCCAACATTCTTGAAGTGACTCTGAGCAAATCATTAATCTTCAGGACCTTTACCTGTAAAACGAAGATTGAAATTATATTATGTATGTGTGTATGTGTATGTCTGTATATACACACAGATACATATAGATCTAAAGTGTTTAATAAATGAGAATTATTATTCTTACTCTAAATCTACCCTTAGGAATCACTGCATTTGAGTTTCTCTTGATGTCGCCTATGCCCAGGGATTACTCTGATGACACTACTGACTAGAATTTTAACCCATGTCAGCCCCTTTCTAAAAAGACACCAGAGGAACAGAAGATCCTTTTCTACCTAGTCAAACTGAAGTCACATCTCCTTTATGGTAGGGTCCATTCTTCTACTTCTCCTTTTGCTTCCCCACAATGAACATTGTATAGAGCACAGTGCTTACATGTAGGGGAGGTGGCTGTGGTGGGAGGGAGTGTCCCTGTGTCCATGGTCTCAGGTTGCCCCTCTTGTCCTGTATGACTTTGGAAAAGTCACTCTCGGTGGAGGAAATGAGTGGACTGGGGCCACACCTTTCTCCTGCTGGTTCTTTACTCCTGAGGAGTCTCTCCAGTATTACTTGCCTTCTTCCTTGCATACATTTTTGAGAACAGAAAAAAGAAAAAGGAAAGATGAGGGACAGCAAAGGCAGACCCTCAGTGCAGACAGAGTTGTGATATTGCAGTAGAGAGAGGACTCCTAAAGGCCCTCCAGTCACATCTGCCCCCTGTTTCCTACCCTGAGGTTAGGTATTGAAGCAGGTAGAGATAGGCATTATTTATTTAACACACTTGGGGAAAGGTAAATAAACATGGTACATATCATCAAAACAGGTATAATTTACAGAATTCTTGAATATCCTCTTGCCTAAAGATATCTTCTTTACCAGAATCATAGGCTGCCAAAAATTCCATCCTTGGGGAGTTAGTCCTTTGGCTTCAAATAGGTGGCATGCGAGTTCCTAGGTAGGGTGCAAATGGGGGAGAAGCAGCCTATTACAATTATTATTCACTCATGTTTCAAACAGATTAATATTATTATTATTATTCATAGTATTTTAAGACAGAGTTTTGCTCTTGTTACCCAGGCTGGAGTGCAATGGCATGATCAGCTCACTGCAACCTCCAGCTCCTGCGTTCAAGCAATTCTCCTGCCTCAGCATTTTATCTAGCTTGGATTAATGGTGCCCACCACCATGCCCAGCTAATTTTTGTATTTTTAGTAGAGACAGGGTTTCACCGTCTTAGCCAGGCTGGTCTCAAACTCCTCACCTCAGGTGATCCTCCAGCCTCGGCCTCCCAAAATGCTGGGATTTTAGGCATAAGCCACTGCACCCAGCCCCAAACAGATTATTAAACCTTCTTTGAGGTTTCAGATAACAGAACACTGATTTAGAAATAACAGGGTTGGGGATAAGGAGAATGTGACAAGGGAAATGACTGTGAGACCTTGGACAGCAAAGGAGAGTGCTGAGCAGAAAGCTACCAAGTATCAATCAGTTACAAAGCTGGCCCTGGAGAAGGGAAAGTGAGGAGGGTGTACCTAAGGGTTTCTAATCACTAGGAAACCAGAGGGGAGGAAAACCATGAAGAAAAGATACAAAAAGATAAACTGCCCTCCATGGAACTATTGTCTTACCATCCTTCAAACCTGTGACATTCCCAGACCCTGTAATTTATGCTAATTTTAACAATTGTAATATGTTTACTTGGCTATCTCCAAGCTGTGAGGCCTAAGATACTCTAGGAAGAAGGGGCTCACAGATATTCACACTATGTATACACACACAACTTTCTTTGACCAGAGAAAGTCAGGGACCAGTTGGTACCAACTACAGAGAGAGAGAGAGAGAGATTGATTCTAGACATTCCAAATGTGCTCCTATCTCCTTCCTCTCTTCCAGGAAAGTCATGGAAGAAATGCACTGTCCACCATTGATAATACTGGGAGACATTAATGTACTTAAGTATTTGCTGGTTTGATCATTTTTTCCCCCCCAACTGGCTTTAGATGAAAAAAAAATTTCTCCTCTTCCTCTCCACAGACTCCCTAGCTACTTCCAAGTCATTGTCTATTTTTCAATCTGTACTTCGGTTTTAAGTCATCAGTCTCTTAGGATAACTTCATGGGTGGCCTTTTCCACCCTTTCGTGAGCAGGTTATTACGGCAGATTACTGGATTAGTGGTTAGACCACTAATGGTGGCATAAGACCATTTCCTACCTCTGTGATCATTGAGTACTCTCCAAACAATAATCTTTAAAGGCTTTTTCAGTTTCTTTATTTTGCAGTTTACCTAAGACTATTCTTTACTTTCAAAATTCTCCAAAGAAAATGGGATGCTATACCCTCAGAACACAAATAAACTTGCCCTAAATTTCCACCTTGGGATTTTACTTCTTTCCTTATTTCTATTCTAGATAAAGCTATGTTTATATTTATAGCTGTATCTATATATTAATGTAGTTACTTATATCTCAATATAAATTGCCTATCCCTATTTTTACACTCACACCAGAATCATTCATTTACCTGCAGGGCACATTCAACCAAATATGTTTTCTTCTTCTCTCTGTTCTCAACCTTTTGTCCCTTTTTTTAAAGACAAGATGTTTTCTGCCTAAGGCTCAAACCAGTCATTGTTTCTTTAGGCAGGAAACCTGAAGAGTCAGTTTTCTCACATGATGATTGGTTATTAAAGGATTTGGAGGCCTCTTTTGATTATGGGATCTGATACCTTGCTATCTGCCACCTTCAAGGAAGCTAAGAGCTTCCTCAGGAACAGCTGTAGGGTCTATAGGATTTCATGAGAGATGAAACTATTTACCTGATGATGTTTCTTAAAACTTCAACAAAACAAAGGTGATTTTTTTCCCTTGATCCATTTTCCATTAAAATCTTTTTTTTTTTTTTTTTTTTTGCTTACAGTAGGCCTGATATTAAAAAAGAAATACAGAGGTGTGTGTTTGAGCATGTGCATGTGTGTATGTATGACTGTGTAAGAGCATGTGAGAGTTTGTATACTTGTGTGTGAGTGGAGAACACTGTGTGTGTTGTATGTTTCTGAATATATATTTTCTGGCTCCGAAATATATTCCAAATATTGCTGTTCCATTATGCTCTACACAACCTGATGACCTTTCTGGAAATGTTTTTACCTGTCAACCACAAATGCACACACACAAAGCAAATCTTTGCCTTCCAAGGGATTGCTGGCAAAGGAAATTCATAATAGGTAATTGTGGTTTTGTATACTTTTATGGCATCACAATGCAAGGCCAGGCGATGAAAGGTCACAGAAGCCTTCCTCTAAGATAGTCTACCTGTCACAGTACTGAAGTTATAGAACATTATATAATAATGACTACCTGACCCAGGTATTTTTTTTATTTTGTGAACAAAAAGGGGAAAAGATAATCCACATTATTTTTTCTACTCTTTATGTAAGGTAATTAGTCAAACTCCTCCCTTCGGGAAACATTCACATTCCCAAAACCCCTCTTATCTAAGCCCTCTTTAACTGTCTGATTCTTTTTTTAATTGATATATAATATATGTACACATTTATGGAGTACATGTCATTATTTTTACATGCGTAGAATGTATAATGATCAAATGGCCTCTTTCCAACTTTCCTCTGATTTATCATTCCTGGGTTTGCTATTTAATAACCTCGTGCTCTTAAATAGCACTGAATCCTCTCAAACAAGGCACAGACTCCTTTGCCTGAAATGCAAGGGCCTCCACAATCCAGCTCAACACTACTCATCTAGCTGTATCCAAGTATATCAGTGATCCTCAGTTCTGGCTGTCCCAGCCCAGAATAAGTAAGTCACAGCATCTGCAGAAGGTACAAGGATCAACCGTCCCTCTCTTTTTAGAACTATGTTGCCCTGAGAGGCAGGGTTTTCAGTGCTCAAATCAGGAAAGTATTGAACAAATTGGTGCATTTGATGGACCTGAGCCCTCCATCAAAAATGGTTTCCCTGTTATCTCTGAGACTCACCCAGTGCATTTTTACATGGTACAATCATTCCACCAATCTTTGTCACCTTCATCTGTTGACTCAACCCTAAGGTGCTATTTTCTGAGCCTTTTGCACATTGTTCATCTTCCCATGTCTTGTCTAATACAAAGTGTTATCTCTCTGCCTGAATTAACTGCAAGTTTTCTCCACAGTTAATAAGAGAGCACACAGGCCCTCACCTTCATATCTGAGGCCTCTGCTTTGCTGTCAAACTGCCTCCATAGGAGAGATGAAAGCCCTGTTCTCTAACACCCACATAGAGAATCAAACAGCCTCCCCAACAGAGGAGTACAGCTTTCATCACTGATGAGTCCTTTATATTTATGAAAAGAATAGTTAACATTCTAGACTGGAGGATTCATATTTGGCATCAATCCACCATTTGGAGGCTTCACCATGAACAGTGAATAAACTATGTGTCATATATTTGAAGGACTACACAGTTATTCTTTTGGCTATTCTAAAACAAAGCAAAAGATACATTTCAAAGCAACTTGCTTTCTTTATCTATAGAAACTGTTCAATACATTTAAATTTAGGTCTCTTGAAAAGTCTGTCTACTCACCTCACTGCAAATACTTACCTGGTATATATGAATGTTTATTTGAATATCCATGTTTGGACTTCTGTCTACTTAGAGTGGAGCATAATATGGATTTTATAAATGTGTATGTGTCTTCTCTCTCCATTTTTTCTTAATAGTTTACCTTTTTTCTCATTTATTTTGCCAGAGTTTTCCAAGCTAATATCCCAGCAAAGAGAGAACACAAATAGAAAAAACAAAGCAGAGAGAACAAAATAATTCTTCACTCTTAAAATTTCAGCATAGGTATTTGAAACTCATAAAGAGCACAGGATTGAAGTATCTAGATATATTTTAGTTTGAAGAGTTTAACATTTGAAGGACTAAGTTAGCCATAAAAATAGCTTGAGAAAGACTGAAAAGGGAGTCGGCTCACCCTGTCCTCAGGTTAGATAAAGACTCTATGGTCTGGAGAAAAATGATGAAAGAGGAGAGGAGAGCCAGAAAGGGTAAAGGGGCTCGAACACTGGGAGATCCTGTACAGGGGCCCGTATGGACTAACCACAGAGCCAGGGTCACATCTGAAAGAGGATGCTAAAGGAACCCAGGTGTATTTGGGCAGGCCAGAACAAAGGGAGCACATGAAACACAACTCCATTAGTTAGAAAACTTTGTAGGGAAGTCTCTATCATCCCACTGTAGTTCAGAAGTAGAGAAATAGAAATGACTCTAACAAGGAAGCACAGAGGGTATGAAGCACCAGCAAGTTCTTTCTTGTTTCAGATTTGTTCAATAGAATAGCCAGATATTTCACCTGAAACTAGAAAGAATCAAAGGTGTGGCCCTCAAGGTTAGGACCAAAAGAACCTATATACTATCTTTATGATATACTTTGTTATGGATTATGTTCATTGGAAACTGAACATGAATTTAGATGCTTTAAGTGAATGCCTAACTGTGACCAGATGACCCTTCCTCCCAGGGTTGGAGATTTTCTCTCTCAGATAATTTAAATGCATCCTCAGGTACAGTGGGTGAAGATAAGACTCTAAATTAAAAAAAAAATAATTTCTGTGATGAACATTTTCTACTGAAACCATCCTACGAATTACCTGTCATTTACATATTTTACAGAGAGAGTAACTCAAAGCAACAGAGGGTATGAATTTGCCAGCGGTCAAAGGCTTCGAAGGTTGTAGAAATTGGACACAAACTCATTCTTGAACTCTGAACTTCAAGGACTTTTCATCATATGGCACTGTCTTCCCCTGTCTTTTTCTTGTTGTTGTTTTGTTTTTGTTTTTGTTTTTTGGGTTTATGTGAATCATGTATCGCTATCTCTGTTTTTTCCAGGTCCCAGTAAGAACAAATCCAGAGATCCCTGTTAGACTGTAAAATGGTTTGTTGATTAG